CCAAAGACTGGACGTGTGCTTAGGAAATGAGTTATTGGAGAGACTCCCAACAGACTGCAGCAGCTATGTGGGTGATCAGCAGCAGAAGTAGCTGCCAGCTGATGGGCAGGATTCGTAAGATGCTGTCTTATTCTCTGTCGTCACTCCAAGCCTCGTGGGCAGGAGGCAATGTGTCTTGGAACTCCCTTTGCTTACAGCATGTAGCAGGGCTAATTTAATTAAATATGATCAAACGTGGGTTTGCTGGGATTGCGTAGGAGAGGTTCTGGGTTGACTTAGCACTGGCCATGATGGTAGATGATGATGTGTCTGAGGTAGTACAGGTCCCCACCTCAGTTCATTTAGGCTGGGCCTCTATCGTCTCCTGGTGTAACAGGTGTGTTACTGTGCAAGGCTAGGCTCATTGCAGCTCTGATCAGAATACTCAAGAAAAATAAATGCAGATTATTCTGTATGCAGAGAAGGGGTGCAGGACTGCTCAGGTAGATGGAGAAGGCTGGAAAGATAAAAATCCAGAAAGGATAATTTCTTGTAAGTTGGTTAAAAGAATAAATTCCAGGAGGATTGAGAGTTGCAGAAGTTTTGAGACAGAGGTGGAACAAAGGCAGAGGAAATAGACTGGCAATAAATAAATTAAGGCTGAAAATGAGAGTGTTTCTGACCACACAAATGTGTGCTAAGAGGATAAAGGTGATGGTGGGAACTGTTTCTGTCAGCATGGCCCTTGTGCAACGGAAGAGTGATGGCCTTGCAGTACAGCCTCTTGTGATCCCTTCTGTAACAGGCTGAGTGTGAGCATCCAAAGGAAAGAGCAAACATCAACTTTAACTGTTGTGCTAAGCCAGAGCTTACAACAGTATTTGTATTTATTAGAGGTGATGGGTCACAATGGGGTTATCTGAACTGAGCATGGCTTTGGACCATGCACAGCATCTCTCCTTTTCTGCTTGACAATTCTAATTTCAGTCCATAAGCCAGCCTTAGCCTCTCCTTATTGCATCTCTAAAAGCAGCTGTGGTTGCCTGATTCCTTTTAACATTTGTCACTAAGTCTTGTTTGGTCAGAAGGGAGTTGGGAGGTGGGCAGCCTTAGCTGTGAGTGACATCTCCTGGCGTGCAGAGCTGCCAGTGACTTAGCGTGCTGCCGGCTGGAGGAGCAGTTTCCTATTTGTCTTGAGGCTCTGGAAGACACTGGGGATGATCCTGCTTTCTTGTCTTCATACAGAGCTGCCTCCCACACTGGTGTGGTCCTTCCCAGGTTATTCACCGAGAGCAAGAGGGTGTTTCTGCAGCAAAACTGCTGTCAGCTGGACTTGGCTGCCAGTGTCATTCTCAGTTGATGGCTAACTCGGAGACAGAAAGGATATTAGATCTGTTTGTGTTCTGGGACCTGCACCAATCACTGGATGGAATCCATGGTAGCCCCTACAAAAAAACCAAAAAGACCAAAATTAGAAACAGAGATGCCTGAGCAGCTGGGCTGCGCTCCAACATCTGGAGAGTGCTTAATGCCTGCACAGCTAGGCAGGGCTCCAGCACCAGGCGGCTCTGAGCTTTGGGGTGGGGAAGAAGAAAAGCTGCATCATTTCTATGCCTACTTATGGCCTCACCTGACGTTTTTATCACCACTTACAGTGGGCAGTATGGGAGAAAGAGCAGAGATCTGTGTCTATTTGGGTTCTTGTTGGGCACAGAGACAGAAGATCATGCCTGCTTAATCTTTAGCTGAGGGAAACTGCTAGCAGAAGAAAAGTCATGGGGCCTAGCCATCAGAGGTGCTAGACAGTCAAGTCCTGCCCCACTTGGTGGAGACTGAGGAGTGTTTGCACAGCATTCAGGGACATGAACGTGGGGTGCAAAGGAGCTGGAGGAGTCTAGGGAATAAGTTCATTCTTTAGCCACTGCAGAACCTGCAATTATGTCTAGAGCTGATGCAGGTAACCAAGTGTGCAGAGAAGGGAACTTGTTCAAATACCTCACCTTTCTGAGCAAACGGCAGGTGAGTTATTTTAATTACATTGAATTCTTTACCTGGATTTGCAATGCCGTGGTTTGGTTTGGGTTTTTTTAAATAATCAAGTATTCAGGTCTGTATGCTTGGAGTGCTATTTGGAAGGTTATTGCTTTGCTAGGCTACCTTCTGGATTATGCTTATCTTTTTGTACCTTTTCTTGTATGAAACATTTCAACAAAATGCTGCTTGGTAGCATTAGAGTTCACACAGGTGGGTGCTCTGATATGGGATACAGCAATGAAATCGCATATCTACAACTCCCAGAGTCCTGAAAAGTGCTCATGATACTGAGCTAAAATTCAGGCAAAAGTCATGTTCAGAGTTAAGGAAATCATGTGTCTTGGGAAAAAATGACTAATCTCAGGTTGCAGGTGGGATGCAGACAATTATCATTATGCCTCTGCCTACAGACAAGGGATTTCTACAGCTGTTTATCGGGATGGTCTATTACAGTGAGAAAGTTGTTCCCGCTTTGCTGCTACTTTGAGTGTGGCTGCTGAAAAGATACAGCAGACAGACAATAGCCACCACAACAGGAAGTTTGAAAATCTTAGAAATTATGCAAAGCCACCCATCCTTTGTTCTTATGACAGTTAACACCCAACGAAGCCGTTAGTGGCTACCTCTAGGCAAGATCTCAGAGTAAGGGTGGTGATAATGACGCGGATGTGCTGTGCAACTCTCAGCAGCAGTTTCAGTTTTCAAGCATGCTAGGTTCATATCTATACTGTGCATCTAATTTTACATTATAGCATCTGGTTTAATTCATTTCTCTAGTGTTAAAATAATTTTTGTTCAACGGATATGCTCAGTGCTATCATAACCTGAGCCAACTACTCATTCCAATAAGAAGAAAAGTCTCCCAGCTGTCACGCTCTGCTGTTTCTAATCACTTCAAGCCATGAGCTCTGGGCTTTCTGAATAAAGCTGTATAAAATGCATTCTTACCTCCTACTGTCTGGTATGTGCACTAGACTATTTTTTTAAGCTGCATTCTTGGAGATATTAGCAAGCATGCTGTGCCTCTCTAACAGGCACTCACAAAACATGAGCATAACAAGCTTCCAAATTTCACAGTTAGCCTCAGCAGATTTACACGAGTGCGATGAGATGGAGCACAGAGCTCCAGGTCAGCATTAGGTTTCCAATGGACCTGCCTGCAGGGAGATTTTCAAAACAAGTTTTCTTGGCACTTTTAGGTTCCATTTTCTCTAGGTAGGTGGGAAGATATTATTTGTTTACAGATAGAGATTTCCAGAGGTGCATTGCTTCTTTTCACTTGGTCTAACTTCTGAAAATAACTCTATGATTTGGGGTCATTTGTAAGGTTGAGTAACACTTCATACAATTCTGGTGCCTGGGACCACCTTTCATGTGAAACTAGAGTGGTTAGATGAGACCCTGTTCAGAGCTTGAATGCTTTTCATATTTGTGTGAGTGATTTGGGGTGCCAGGATGGATTTGGAGCATTGACCCAGTATCACCTGAGGGCTGGAGAACGACCTCTGGAACTCCAGTTCTGGCATGCAGATGCAGAGCAGGTTCAGTCACCTTATCTTCTTGGAGCACGAAGATAGTTGATGTGGTTGCCTGCACAGAGTTGTTGTCACCCTGGAAGACCTCTAATGTACTTCTAAACATCTCCTGGGATATTTGTGTATAAGGAGAAGAGAAATTAGTACCCGTGTGAGCAGTCAGACAACCAGTGCTTTTGAGTATGGAGTATCAGCGTAGCAGAAATGGATTTCATGTTGTAGTGGGAGCAAGTATGTCCCCTGGAGTGCCAAAGCTATTTGTTAGTTGTAAGTGTTGAATTTACAGCTAGATTATAAATCTGGAAAATGCTTTTGCTGATACTCTTTCTAGAGGGTATATAACCTTTTCTATAACCCTTTCGTGTTATAAGATGGTATTTTATTAAACAATGCCAAAACTGGCTGAGCTTAAGTTGTGAAGTGAGATTTCCACCATGGGATACATGAAGGCGAATCCGAAGCAGGAAAACATAAGAGACAGCATCGTGCTAGCCACTAACAAATGCAGGTATATGTATATTGGTTCTGAAAGCTCAAATGCCATATTGGTTGTGAATGATTTCCATCAGCCATAAGTGGCTTTTTTTACAGAATTCTACTGCTAACCATGTATTTTAAGCTACAAAAATCTTAATTTGTTAGATAGGTCATACCAAATATATCAGTAACAGTTAAGGAATCAGACTGGTACAGGTTTTGCAAAGTGTGTGATTTTTAACCGTATGATGTTAATTCTGCAAATACAGGCTATTCATAATTTACTGGTCTTGTGAGAAGTGGCATCAAAAATCTCCATAGATTTCTTAAATCCCTGTGGAGTGCAGATCGTATTTTCTATACAGCATTGCCAAGGTGCAGGACAGCATTTCTTGAACTAACTGTGACATACTGAAATGTTAGTGTTAGACTTCCTATGTGCATTACTAGTGATGAGGATGTTCTAAATTATATACAAACATTGTAAAAAACTGAAGAACAAAGCATACCAGGACAAAATGTCACAGGGGTTAAAGCTTTGGGTTCCACAAGGTTACGCTGTTTATATATTACCAGTCTGTTCTTTCAGCTTCTCAGGAATTATTAAGCCAAATGCGGAGCTATAGAAGAAGTTAGTATTTTGCCCCATACAGATGCTTTTGCTATATGGTTACTCAGCCACCTGCAGGTATCTCAAGGACAGGCTGACCATAAGCTGCATCTTGAAGTCCTCCTTCCTGACCACCTGGCACAGCCCATGGAGGTGTGGCATGGCCCGTGAGAGCAGATCTGCAGGATACCAGGGCTGAGCTCTGCCTCTAAGAAATCCCACAGGTGACGGGAGCAGGGATGGGCAAAGGCAGGTGCTTCATAGTGGAAAGGGACTGCAGGAATGTGCCTGAAGACCTTTGGGGTGTGAGGTAAGGTGGGCTGGGCTACTGAGATACTAACATCCTTTTTCTGCTCTAGTCACAGGTACGAAACCAAAGATGTCCTGCACAAGAAAGATTCTACTCATTCTGGGACTCCTCTCTACTTTGGCTGTAATTGCTTTAATTACTGTAGCAGTGACCCAAAACAAACCACTTCCGAAGAATATTAAGGTATTACAAGCTGGGACTCTGTCAGGAAAACAAGCCAAGCCGGGGGGTTAGGCGTGCATAGGTGCTCCAGGACATGTTGCTACTCTTGCTGGGTCTGGCTAACCCCTCTTTCTGGCTCCATGCACCTCACCATCTTGTTTTACATCTTCATGCAAAACCAGATATGGCTTTGCAGGGGATCATCTCCTAAGTAATCAGTCACAATTTTGCTGCTTCTCTGCTCTTGTATCCTTTGATGGAAACTTTGCACTGAAGCACTACTGAGAAGAGTAACAACACAGCATGTTCCCACAGCTGCCAGATAGGCTGTTCATTTCTGGTCCCCCTGTGTGTGGAGACCAGCACACACTGTGTCTGGTTTGGTGCCTCAGGTGCAATAACGGCTCTGTTTTGCCCACAGTATGGGATTGTGCTGGATGCGGGGTCGTCCCACACTAACCTGTATGTGTACGAGTGGCCAGCAGAGAAGGAGAACGACACTGGGGTGGTACAGCAGGTGGAGGTGTGTAAAGTCGAAGGTAAGAGGAGAAAAGGGAGCTGTGGAAAGGGCACAGGATGAAGAACAGATAATGCAACCAAAGGGTGGGGGAGGAGAAACCTGGAGGAAGAGGCCAATAGTGAAAGCAGTGTTACATCTGTGAGTTCATGTATATCCCACTGCTTCCTGTGGGGATCTGTACATGCCTGACCTTCCTGGGAGGAAAGCTGGATCCACTTTTTCCTTTGTTTTTAGGATGCTTGGAAGTAAGTGCTTTTTGGAAAGAACCACACCAAAGAATGTACTTATAAAACATCTGCATGCACCTTGCTGAAGTGCCAATGAATGTCAGGCAGCAAGAGGGGAGGCCATGGTTTGCTCTTTTTCAAGGCTTCTGTGCAAGCTAGGCACTGGGCTTGCAGGCCAAGGTTGCTCAACTTATGCGTGTCATGGTTTATTTTTTATTCTATTTAATTGCTGTGTAGATATTGTATGAAGCCCAAGGATGTACATGACAAGGAACAGTAGACCGTCATGGATCGCTGCGCTCTCTGGGGAGTAGAGCTGTTGTCAGAGCCTGCCTGGGGTCTTTTCAGCCCTGTTGGCAGTGTAGGAGAGCACGCCATGCTGTTATCGAGCTGCTGCAATAGCTGTTCAGCGCTGCAGCATGCCACGTCACGAGCAGCACACTGAGCATGCGGCAACCTGGAGCAAACGCAGAGCAGGCTTCACTGCTGCCCATGCAGGCACTGGTCCTGGGGCAGTCCATTCACCAGGGTACATATGGCAGGGAGGGACAATGAATTTTCCTTTGAGTTAGCATGAAAGGGGATAGCTGCAAAACACTAAGTGCTATCTTGTGAGCATACAATACACAAACAAATGATAGCATCTTCCCCAAGAGGACCCAGTGTAGTGAAGGGTCAGGGATTTTCAGGTGCAGATCCAGGGTACACCCAGGCAGAAGCAGAGATGTATCTGCAGATGTCCAGGACATACTAAGCAAATGATCTGTCTCACTGCAGCCCTCATCACTAGTTCGTAGCCTGCTTCATGGAGAGTGGTGTCAGATGCTGGGCACTGTGGTGGTCCCTGTGTGCATGAGGCTTAGTTGGTGCTGTAGGATTTCTGACACTCCTTAAAAATTAGGTGGTTGAATCTGATGTTGCTGCCTGTGATAGTGATACAGTTTAACATGACAGTGCTCTGGGGTTATGCTTGGAGTTTGAGCAATGAAGTGTGCTTATTTCTTGTAGGCCCCGGGATCTCAGGTTACTCCCATGCCACGGAGAAGGCAGGTCCCTCTCTGGCACAGTGCCTACGACAAGCAGAAGAGGTGATTCCCTCAAAGCAGCACCAAGAGACACCCATCTACCTCGGAGCAACTGCTGGCATGCGGCTTCTCAGGTACTGCAGGGCTTGTCCCCTTCTCCTGCAGCACTGCGCCTGGGACCTCCATGGATGGTCAGTGCAGGCCTCCTGGGCAAAGTCCTTGGAAATGCTGCCAGTTCACACTTTGCCCAGATACCCTCTTCTGCTGCTGGCCTCTCTGAGCCCTGAGTCTCCCAGGGCTCTTCCCCTGCTTGCCCAGCAGGTCCATTTCCGCTTGCTCCAACCTTCCATCATCTCCAGCACCCACATGCAGCACAGAGACACCAGGAGGGTAGCAGTGCCCAAGCTGATGCTCAGGGGATGCTCAGACATTCTCCCACATCAAGGGGATGCTCAGACATCCCCCATAGTCTGGCATTAGGCCTGAGCCAGGATTTTTGATCCCAACCATGTTGCAACTCCCCACATACCTTGTCTCGGCCCGAGACCATCAGAGCTAAGGTAACTTTACAATCATATCCTCTTTTAATTCCAATTTGTGATTTTCTTGGGGGTGCCCCGGACCTCTTGCCTGGCTGGGACAGGGAGCTAATCTTATGTATGTATTGCCTGAGAAATCTCCCTGGGGATATCAGAGGGCATGTATTTCTTCTGTAATGGTGATGGTGAAGAGTGAGAGGAATCGCCATGGTGCAATCCCTACCAGGGCACATGCTCCAGGAAAACGAGACAGCTCTGGTCCCTGCTCCAGGTACAACTCTCAGCTGTGGGATCTGTAAGTGTCAGAGCTTGTGGCAGCTGTTCTGTCAAGGTCTGACAGAGCGACGTGGCCAGTTAGAGCTGGATGTACCCATATGAATGACTGTTCTGTTCTAATTAATGCTTGGTGGGGAGTTGCAGCCTGCCTACTCAGAATAAAGCCCATAGGCTCCAGAGACCTGTCAGCCAGAGTCACTCCATCCTTTCTTCCATTCATCCAGCTTGGAGAATAAAAGTGCAGCTGAAAAAGTCTTGTCCTCAGTAGAGAAGATGCTACGCTCAGGTCCCTTCAGCTTCCAAGGTGCCAGAATCATCAGCGGTCAAGAAGAAGGAGCCTATGGATGGATCACCATTAACTACCTGCTGGGCAATTTCAAGCAGGTACTGTATCAATGGCAAGTCCATATTTGAATCATCAGCTTGCAGCACTTTGTAAATCATCCTTTGCCGGAGGGTGTCGCACACACTATTTTCCCTTGTTAAGCCATTTACCAGAGATCAGGAAGCTGCACATCTTGCCTCAGGGGTTACTGTGAGTACATCCTGATACCAGTAAGTATCAGCATGTACCACTGTAGTCAGGCTTAAAGCATCAAAATAAAGCACCAGCATCTTCGCTAACTTCGCTTGGGTACAGCATCCTCCTCACTTCCTGATCTAAAATATTTCTGTTCCTGCAAAGTTTGACAATGATTCTTTACTATTGAGCTTATAAATTATCTAGGAGCTGAAACAGTAAGTTGGCTGGTTTTTTTTCTCATAACAATTGTATTAGATCTCATATTCTTAGTCCTCCTGCAAACACTCAGACATGATCCATCCTCTGCTTTTCTGAGCCTGCATCTTTCTTGTGTCTTGTTCGAGCTCTCATCTCGTGCCCCCCTCCAGGTCTGTCTTCCTTTCCTGTGTTCTGTGCTTCTGCTTCTCTCCTCACAGGTCCTCTTCTCTCTTCTTCTTCTCTCTTCTTCTTCTCTCTTCTCTTTTTTTTTCCCTCTCTTTTCTCCCAAATAAATCTTTTCCATGCCTGATGTATCTGTTTTACTTTGAAATTTTTTTTTAAGTCTGGCTGGACAAAACTTCTACATTCCCTGAAATCCATAAGTGAGACATCAGGAGCACTAGACCTCGGAGGAGCCTCAACACAGATTACCTTTGTACCAGATACAAACCCTGAAGAGTCCCCAGAGAACCTGCTCCACTTCCGCCTCTATGGCAAGGCTTACGGAGTGTACACACACAGCTTTCTCTGCTATGGGAAGGACCAGGCTCTGCAACAGAAACTGGCCAGGGACCTACAGGCAAGTACATCTGTAATTGCAGGTGGAGATCCTGGACCCTCCCAGCTTTGACATACTCCTGTAAAAGTTGCTGTGTCCCAGCTAAATGTCTCATCCCTTAGTCTGGGTTTGGGAAATGCCATTATCCTCCACAAAGGTTGGGCAGACGCCCAAAGAGATGACAGTCAACATTTTCAAAAGTACTGCCTATTTGAGGTGCCTTGATTCTTGGGCATGGGATAGCAGGAGTACTGTGCTTAACTGAAATACTCCAGAGAGGTGATGTTTCACCATCTCTGAGAATCCCAAATCAGCAGCAGCTTCACAAAATGTGGCTGAAAGTAATTTGCCCAGCGTCCTACAGGGAGGCAGTGGCAGTACCCACATCTCCCAAATCACAGCCAATACCTTAAACCACCCTCATCACTTTGACCCGATGTGTGTATCTTGGTGTGATGTACTGTGACAAGCGCCTTGTGGTCACCCTTCCTTGTGGCTCTTTCTCGGGGTGTTACTCGAGAATGAAGTGTAACAGCTTGGGTTGATTTTACTTTCAGACTATGGAGAACAGCAGCCTCCTTGATCCGTGCTTTCACCAGGGGTATCAGAGGACTATAAATATAAGTGACCTCTTCAAAAACCCTTGTACATCAGCCAAGGAAAAAAAATTGCCTTTCAGCCAGCTGTACATACAGGGAGAGGGAGTTTATCAAAAGTGCCGAAGAAACATCCAGAAACTCTTTAATAAAACCAATTGTCCTTACTCCAGTTGCTCCTTCAATGGGATATACCTACCTCCATTACAAGGGGACTTTGGGGTAAGTTTTCACATTCTTCAACTCTCTGTAGCCCAGAATATCAGAAGAGCAGAAACTGAGAGTAATGCTAGAGTGTATTGTCCATGGCTGGGGCAAGAAATCATTTACAAGAGGTCTTTTTGGACATGTAACTACAGAAGTAGTGCTGCACTTGCTGCAAGGACAGCCCATGCAAGAGCTACCCCAGTAAATACTGGCCTACCTGTACTGCACTGTTCCCATTCCAACCCATCTCCTGTAGGGTAGGCATCTACTTGGGGTGTTCCATTTACTGATTTATTTTTCAAGCAGTCCTTCCTGATGGCCAGCACCAGAGAGCCTGCTGCAGGCCGTGCATGATACACTGCTCCTGCAAACCTTGTCTGCTGAGGTCAATGGTGGTACCAGAGCTGAAATTTATCCAGAAGTGCGTGAGCGCTACTGAAACCAATCAGTCAGCTCACCCATCTGCTTCCCAGACATGATGGGGAGACAGTGCATGCTCTGAACACACATCATGTGTGACACCACATTGAACATCAGTCCTAGAGCTGCAAGACTTCAGTGGCTGTGAGGATTTCTGGGGGAACTGTTAATACCCCCTTGCCCTGTTCATAAACTGCCCCTTACCTATCAGCTATTGGCCATGGTCAGAGATGGGTTTTCTGGACTTTGGATTATATGCTAGGGCTGTGTACAGTCCTTTCAGACCATCACCTCTGCAGTTTGTGGCAATATTGGCTGCATGCTCATCTCATTCAGTTGCCAAATTGGGATCACAGTTGTGATGGCAAGCAGCGTTCACTGTGTGCCACTGGCACCAGTGTGTAGAGGAAAGGGATTTACTGAAGTTCTTCAGGGTACTGTGGTCAGTGAAGTTCCTACCTCCACCTCCCTTTTGGGGTCCTTAGGTCTCATCAGCTCTGAGAGGGGTGTCTCAAAATGACATCACTCTTGAAAATATACCTACTTTTGTGTGTGTGATGTTGCTTCTTGTAGTTCTCTATGTGTAAATAAAACCATTTTCTTTTGTGAGATTTCCACTGTCCTGCTCATGCTGAGGCCCAGTCGGGTTAAAACATTCTTTCTCCTTCAGGCTTTTTCTGCTTTCTACTTTGTGATGAACTTTTTGAACCTGACCAGTGAACAAAGCCCCATTGCCCTGGACAAAGTGGCCAGCACCATTGAGAGCTTCTGCGCCCGGCCTTGGCACGAGGTGAGCAGTGCTTGTGGCAAGGGGCTGGGGCTGCCAGGTGGCAAGAGCTACTGATATTTTTCTGTAGGATAAATGGTTGGGGGTAACTTCCAAGGCAAGAGGGGGAAGATCCCCCCTTTACCTGCAGTGGATGCTCAGGTGCAAGCTGGAGCAGCGGGAAGCTGTGTTTAACAGCCTGGCGATTTCCTCCTTCCCTAGGTGAAGACAGCATATCCCCAAATAAAAGAAAAGTACCTGAGCGAATATTGCTTCTCTGGAGCCTACATCCTCTCTCTCCTGGAAAATGGCTACGAATTCACTGAAAAGAACTGGCAAAGGATCCACTTCCTTGGAAAGGTCTGTTCTGTGGTGGGGAGGGCGTTACCCTAGCAGCTAACTGCAACCTCTGCTGCACAGCCCAGCCCTTTTTCCCCAGAGGTGCCACTGCCCCAGCAATGCAGCAAGCAGCCCCTGCACCTCCCAGCACTGATTCTGCTCCTCTCCCATTTCAGATTGGCAGCAGCGATGCAGGCTGGACCCTGGGCTACATGCTCAACCTGACCAACATGATCCCTGCAGAGGACCCCGCTGTGCCCCCTCTTTCCCATGGCAGCTACGTGGGGCTGATGGTGCTGTGCTCCCTCGTGCTGGTGTCCATGCTCCTGTTTGCCTGGCTTCTCTTCCACAAGCCCAAGTGCCTGCAGAAGGGGATTGTTTAGGAAGAGCCTT